ACTGCAGGGGGCGCAGAACTAAGATCCCACATGCTGCGCGTTGTGGCCAAAAGAAAAAGGACTATAGCCTTGATTGCATAGGACTGCAAGGGCTTGATCACCTTATATTCACTGGATCTAAACCCTATCATTTTAAGTCAGAGAATAAGCGACTGGCCCTTAGACCACAGCTATGAGGGGAGAGTCTGACTCCTAGGCCTGCCAGTGTCCAGCCCACTATATCAATTTTAGTCTTTCATGTTAGGCATTCCTATCCTGCTCCTATGGAAAATCAAGGCAACCAACAATAGGAAACCCTACTTGAAATAAGGCATTTGAAGAGTATAAGTCACTGTAACTTACCTGATGATTTTTAGAGAGCTAGAAAATGAAACCCCATATGATTACCTAACAGGTCTGTGGTTAACTTTTCCTTCCTTCCCCCCTCCTTTCCTTCCTTCCTTCCTTCCTCCTTCCCTCCCTCTCTTTATTTTGGTTGTGCTGGGTCTTAGTATGACAGGCAGGCTCCTTAGTTGAGGCTCCAGGGCTCCTTTGTTGTGGCATGCAAACTCCTAGTTGAGGCATGCATGTGGGATCTAGTTCCCGGACCAGGGATGGAACCTGGGCCCCCTGCATTGGGAGCGCAGAGTCTCAAGCACTGCGCCACCAGGGAAGCCCCATGTGGCTAACCTGTAACCTGGGATTCAAATATCCTCAATGCCCTGCTCCTAACCTTCGTAATCATAAGCCTACTAACTCCACACCCACACCCGAAAGCCATGATTGTGCAAAAGTGAACTACTGATGGGTATACACACTTTATTCCAGAGGAAATTAATCCCCTTGCCTTCTATTTCCAACCCCACTGGTCTCTTTGATCTATCAAATGCCACCTCCTTTGTGAAGCCTCACCCTCTTCCCTTCAGCTAAAAGTAACTTCTCCATTTTCTGAACTTTGCCACTCCCTTACGGCACTCTCTCAATCTTGAATTGTAGTTACATACATCTTATCTTCCCTACTGTAATAAGCATAGTGAAGGCAGAGTTTGTGTCTGATTTTTTACCTTAAACAGCGAGCTTATGGGTAAGAGGCAATGAACATGCTGCTTGGTCTACCCAAGTCCCCATCCTCTCTCATTTAGGCTTGGGCAAAAGCCTTCTAACTCTTCCTTGGATTCTACTAGGCTCTTCTATCATGATCCTTTGGAAACACATCAGCTCGAGTCAGTTCCTTACTCAAAGCCCTTCACAGACTTTCCATGGCCTCACTACACCACTTGACTAATTTTGCTATCACACTGGCCTTCTTGCTTTTCTTCTATCATGCTAACCACCTCCTTTCTCAAATGCCTTACATTTGATGTTCTTTCAGGATAGAATAGTGGCTATTAATAGAATACGGGACTTCCCTGGTGGCGCAGCGGTTAAGAATCCTCCTGCCGACGCAGGAGACACGAGTTCGAGCCCTGGTCTGGGAAGATCCCACTTGCCGCAGAGCAACTAAGCTCTTGCACCACAACTACTGAGCTTGAGCTCTAGAGCCCACGTGCCACCACTACTGAAGCCCATGTGCCTAGAGCCCATGCTCCACAACGAGAAGCCACCGCATGAGAAGCCCACGCACCGCAACGAAGAGTAGCCCCGACTCTCCACAACTAGAGAAAGCCCGCGTGCAGCAACAAAGGCCCAATGAGCCAAAAATAAATAAATGAATGAATAATAAATTTATTAAAAAAATAGAATACGGTCTAAGATACTAGGTACCATTTGCTTCCTTACTCAAATCAGGTTGTCTTCCCCCATAGAGGTCCTTTTTGGCCATTCTCTAGCACCCCTGTTAAGGGTGAAACCAGAGTGCCTGGTTTGGACAGTTGGCTTTACCACTTACTGGGTGTATGATCTGGGGGCAAGTTAACCTTTTTCTTCCTCAGTTTCCTCATCAGTAAAATGGGGATAATAATTACACATACTGATTGCTTAGAACACTGCCTGCCTGGTACACAGCAAGGGTTCAATAAGTTATTGCTTTTCCTCATAGTGCTCATCACAATCTGACATTTTTACATATTAGTCTGTGTCCTACACTTGAAAGTAAGCTCCTTTAGGGCAGGACTGTTTTATTGGTGATTTTATCCCTAGCTCCTAGAGCAGTGTCTTGCTATAAAGAACTTCATTGCATTTTGTTGAGTATGAATGGATTTATTCAATGTTTTAAAAAAAAATAAACTACTGAATTGTATTATTTTCTTAAATAGGCTTTCCATAACTGTGTGAATATTAATATTGACAGATCTATGTATTGTACTTTGTTGCAGAGGAAACCTCCTTGGCCTTTAAATTCAAGTGGAAAATAGCCACAAACAGGAACAATGTATCTGAAAAAAATCTAGTCCACTATACTGTGTTATTGAACTAGATCAGTTATAGCTAACTTATTATGTGATAATACCAGAGTACTAGGAGAAAAAATGGATAATTGTGTGCTTACCACACAGTAGCTTCGAATAATTACTAGCAAATTATAAAAGCACTTGAAAAAGAAAATGCAGAAGTTATACTTCAGATTTTGACAATTGTATACATCTGTGTAACCACCACTGTGCTCTAGATATAGAACACTTCCATCACTCCAAAAAGATCTCCCTGCCCTTTTTTTTTTCTAACAAACTCCCAGTCTTTGCAAGGCAAACACGTGGCAGGCAAAATAACGACCCCCAGAAAGATGTCCTTGTCCTTATGCCCAGAACCTGTGAATATGAACATACCTGTGACTATGTTACACGGCAAAAGGGACTTTGAGATAGGGGATTATCTGGTACCTGGGTGGGCCCAATGTAACCACAAGAGTCCTTAAAAGTAGAAGAGGAAGACAGAAGAGTCAGTCAGAGAAAGGTGCTACAGTGGAAGGAGAGGCAGGAGAGATTTGAAGTATAAGAAGCACATGACCTATTCTTGCTGGCTTTGAGGATGGAGGAGAGGGGCCACAAGTGAGGATGGAGGAAAGGGGCCACAAGCCAAAAAATGCAGGTGGTCTCTAGAAGTTGGGAATACCAGCAAAGGAACAGGGACCTCAGTCACAATCATTAGGACTGAATTCAGCTAACAACTTGAATGAGCAAGGAAATAGATTATGAGAGCCTCCAGAAAGAAATGCAGCCCGGTGGCAACTTGATTTTAGCCCAGTGAGTCCCATACTGGACTTCTGACCTACAGAATTGTAAGATAATAAGTTTGTGTTAAGCCCTAAGTTTGTGGTAATTTGTTATGACAGAAATTGAAAATTAATGCTCTATTGAAAATTTCTATGCTCTAACACTATAGAGTAGTCTTCTCTGTTTTTGTACTTTATATACATGGAACCATATAGTAGACCTCTTTTGTGGCTGGCATATATACACACACACACACCCATATATATATATATTTTTGTCGCACCCTGCGGCATGTAGGATCTTAGTTCCCAAACCAGGGATTGAATCCGTGCCCCCTGCATTGGGAGCGAAGAGTCTTAACCACTGGACTGTCAGGGAAGCCCCTCACTTATAATGTTTTTGAGATTCACTTATATTGTTTGTAACAGTAATTTTTAAAAAACTGCTGAGTAAGTAGTCCATTGTAAATACACCATAACTTACTTATCCATTCTCTCGATGATGGACATTTGGATTCTTTCCGGTTTTGGGGTCTCAAGAAGATGTACATTCTTGTACCACTCTTTCTATAGACATGTTTCCATTTCTCTTGGGTAAATACCCAGGAGTAGAACTGCTGGGTCACAGGAGAGCTGTATGCTTAACGTTAAAAGAAATGGCCAAACGGTTCTCCAAAGTGGCTGCGTCATTTCAAATTCCTACTGGCAGTGTGTGGGTTCCAGTTGCTCCGTATCCGTGAATTTGAGCAGATTGTATTCTCATTTTATGTATGAGGAAAAAAAAGATACCCAGAGAGGCTGATTTGCCTAAAGTCATATGGTTTGTATGAGCCAGAACCAGGACCCTGGTGCTCTCCATACTGGAGTTTCCCTACTTTCCATCTGCACTCCCTCATCCTTCAGTGTTGCATTCTCTCTCATCTTGATAGTTGTCCATCACATTAGTTTAATTTTCTTGCTATTTTTATGCCTTCCAAGGGAAATGACAATTAAAAAAATGATGTAATATTTATTGTACCTATCTACTTAAAATTTTTTAATGTATAAAAATTACATTAAAACATCAATATGCAATTATTTTCCCACCACTCAAAAATTTTAATATGTATCGAAGATTCTGGACCAGAAAATGTGTAAAGAGAAGACAAGAAATATCAAAATAACTTATAACAAATTTCTAAAACCTCTCACATTTTAAATTTGTAAGACAAAAATATGATTTAAATACATGTTTGCCATTATGGTATAGATAAGAAAATAGTATCCATACTAAAATTAATTCATCCTACTTATCAAAATTCCTAGTATAAGAGTGAAAATACTCAGATGCTTATAAATAGGTATTCAAAAGTTTCTCTTGGTCAACATTCTTTGGTGTTCATAAAACTGCATATATTATTATGTATCTATTTATCATACAGTCTTTTCAGACTATACATTCAGTTTAAATTGGAAATAAAAAAATATAGATATTACTATAGAAAGTAGTTATAGAGTAAGTATTTTGATTTCATAGTGCCCAAGGGTTTATGAACAAGATTTACTTATTAAACTTTAAAATAACCACCTAATTCTTTGATATTTCTTCTACATCTACATGTTCCAGAAATTTAAAAAAAAGTTACATCTATAGGCAGAAAATTAACTCTGAGTTGACAATTATTTATGACTCTCTCCACTGGCTGTTCCACAACATATGAAAAGATGAAAAGCCTAGCATTGCTTGGATACCAGCTTAATAAGCAACTTGGAATGCCAGATGCATAACAAGAAATGGAATATTCTACTTTAGAGGAAGAAGACAGAGTGAATAACATGAACACAACTTAGTCTAAGTTCTTTACCCTAATAAAGTATTCATTTGCAAATATTACCAAAAGTAAAAAAATTTATTTTACAGAGTGGTTGGCTTTTGTAATACATCAAAAACTGTCATGTTATCCTTCACTATTTTCACTGCTGCCTCATATCAGTGGTTGAAGTTTCTCCCAAATAATTTAGTTTACATTTAAAGTGGCAATACAGGTTTTACTTAATGGATTTAAGTTATAATTAGAAACCAGTTTTATATACAGAAAATCCATAAATATAGAACTTTTATTCCTATTTTATCCTAGGGCTATGCAAAAAATTGACTAAAAATTTTTCATTTGGGTCTTTGTAATAAACATGTAAATACATTATTTACAATGGAGATGCTTTCTTACAGAAAGTAAACACACAGAAGTTATTTTGGTCTTCACTAGAATCCATCATTATATGTTCACTTTTGAAGATGATATGATACATCATGTTCACTTAAATTTTAAGTTTCCTGTTTTACACGTAATTTAAACAATTATTTTACTTGTACAATTAACGCTTCATTCTGTATTTAAATTTCCTTTAAGAAAGATTCCTTGATCCAACTGTAGGGAGCTTTAAAATTTTTTTCAAATACCACAAAATGTTTCTGTACAATTAATTATGTGCAATTTTCTTCCTTCTGGCGATATTATAAATACCCGCTCATTTCATCTTCATTGTTCATACCCCAGGGGTAATTCCCAAGTTATCTCACATGATGTAAGTACCATCTTTGTAGTATTTCATGGACTCCATTTGTTTTGTCATAGCCAGAACATCATGAAATCCAGTACTTAGGCCAGACATATGTTGAAAGTATGCTTCTTTTTCCACTTGAATTGTTAAATTGTTTACTCCAGCATCTTTAAGTATTCCTGTAACCTGTTATAAAAATCCATACATTTAAAAGCATTTAGATTAATGCATTTAGTGCACTTGGATTAAATAATAGATATCACATTTTTTAAAATAGCCACAGACAGTCAATGATAAGTCCTTAAAATAATGTTTATTATTTAGCTGGTCAAATATTACATAGGATCTTTTAGAAGGCCAGTAAATCACTGACCTGACATTCAAAGTAGAAAAGGAAAACAGCTACTGTTTCCAATTCGGTAGGTCTAGAATAGGGATACAGGAACTGTTTTGATCCTTATCTCCAACCATGACACATACCTGCCAACTTTATTATTATTATTAACTTAGGACTATATTTATAATAACTTATTTCTTGACCATCTATTGGGAACCAAGGTGGATTACAAATGAATTTTTTTTACATTAACTTAAGCTTGTCCTCCACATACTAAAACTTGACTTTATTTTTTACCATTTTTGGATATAAAACAAATCTAGATGTAAAAAAACAACTTATCCTTGGACAGCTGTAAGAATGATATTTTTAAACAATTAAATGACTACTGAGCTGTATAACTTACAATGTGTGCAATTACCTCAACTGAAATTATTTTAAAAACTTAAGATTATTACCTGCTGTACTATTCTTTGTTCCAGCACATCAGATGTCACCTGTATATGAATTGTTCCTGCCACAATATTGGCAGAATGACGCCAAAAATGTGGGTCTCGGTATGATATTAATCCTTCAATTTTCTGTAGCTGTCAAATAAAAGGAGAGGTGATATAAATGGATTTGAAGGCTAATTTACTGAACACAAAGCAGTCTTTCTAGTCCAGAAACCATTATTAAGCTGATTAAAAAAAAAAAAAGTAATAAGGAGAGCCCAGAATGAGAAAGGAATGGGAGGGACAACTAACTTCAAGTAAAGGTGTCTAAAATATTTTGACCTGGCAGTGATGCCAGGGAAGGAAGTTTGGAATAGGAAGTGAACAGGGTTACACAGGTGACTTTACACCCATTTTCACCGATGTAAGATGTACTTTGCCTAGTCTAAACATTGGATACGTTCAATAAACCATGTTGTTTCCTTTATATTGATACAAACATTCCAGTATTATTTGTTATATTTGAGATAACACATGCAAAAGATATCCTTCATGTTCAACAACGGAGGGCTAGTTAAATAAATTATAGACTATCCACACAATGTAACACTACCCTGTCATTAAAAATGTATTAGAATATTTATCAGCATGATATAATTAAGTGGGGAAAAATTTACAAAGCAGTACAAAACATTTTTTTGGCCATTTTTATTTTAAAAATATTTTTATACAGAAAAATGACCCAAAAGTGTTTCTGGGCTTCCCTGGTGGGGCAGTGGTTAGGAATCCGCCTGCCAATGCAGGGGACATGGGTTCAAGCCCTGGTCCGGGAAGATCTCACATGCCATGGAGCAACTGGGCCCGTGCGCCACAACTAGTGAGCCTGCGCTCTAGAGCCTGTGAGCCACAACTACTGAGCCCACATGCCACAACTACTGAGGCCCACGTGCCTAGAGCCCGTGCTCTGCAACAAGAGAAGCCACCGCAATGAGAAGCCCACACACCGCAATGAGAAGTCCCTGCTCACCACAACTAGAGAAAGCCCATGCACAGCAACAAAGACCCAATGCAGCCAAAAAAACAAACAAAAAAACCAATAAATAAATAAATAGATAAATTAAAAAAAAAAGTGTTTCTTTCCAGGTGGTGAAATTATATGTGATTATTATTTTTTCTTTTTTCTACTTTGAAGCTTTCTGTAATGGATATGTATTATTTTTGAAATAAAAAACTTTCTTTTTTAGTAGGATGTATTAGTCGCCAATTATGAGAAAGTGAGAAAACTTTACTAATTTTATTTATGAAACCAGTGGGTTAAGATGCTATACCTTAAGTATTCAAGATGCCAACTGTTCATCAGCAGATCCTAATTACTTTAATATGATATGTCAGGGACTTCCCTGGTGGCGCAGTGGTTAAGAATCCGCCTGCCAATGCAGGGGACACAGATTCGAGCCCTGGTCCGGGAAGATCCTACATGCTGTGGAGCAACTAAGCCCATGTGCCACAACTACTGAGCCTACATGCCACAACTACTGAAGCCCGTGTGCCTAGAGCCCGTGCTCTGCAACCAGAGAAGCCACCGTAATGAGAAGCCCGCGCACCGCAACGAAGAGTAGCCCCCACTCACTGCAACTAGAGAAAGCCCGCGCACAGCAACGAAGACCCAATGCAGCCAATAAACAAATAAATAAACAAACAAATAAATAATAAGATATGGCAAACCACAAGCTGAAATACATTCTATTTTGTGTTTGGTTTTTCTATGAATTGCCTGTTTATATTATCAGTCCATTTTCCTACAAGACTGTCATTTTCATTTCTCATTAGGTCAACTTATTTAATTTCAAATACTATTTTAAAAGGAAGAAGACTAGTAAACAAATTATACACAGTACCTTTTCTAAGGCAATATGTAGTTCTTTTTCATATTCTGGTGGCAGTCTCAGAAGGAGAACCTGACAGGCATCTTTAATCAGTGGGACAACACTGAGAAATATTAATATAGCGATAAAAAGAGAACAGAGGGGATCAGCAATGAACCATCCAAACTGCTCTATAAGAATGGTGGATACGATCACACCAATACTGCCAAGTGTGTCTGCCAAAACATGTAGAAATACACCTACAAGTAAGATACATAAAATATTAAAAATTAAAGCACATTTAATTTAGTTGTTTTATTCATTCTACAAATATTACGAGGTACCTATTATTCACCAGGCACTCTGCTAGGGGCTGGTACTTCAAAATGACTAAACATGGTCACTTCCATCAAGGAATTCATGGCATAGTGGTGAAAGTAAGGATGTGGGCAACTATTACCAGTGTGGTGAGTTTTATGATGGTGTGTGGGAAAGCTTCCTAGGAATCATACATGAGCCAAGTTTTGACATTACCTAAATTATTTCTACTAAAATATCAGAATAGGGAATTCTCTGGCAGTCCAGAGGTTAGGACTCCGCACTTTCACACTTTGCGGTGTGGCCAAATAAATAAATAAATAAATAAATAAAAAATCAGAATAAATATCTCAACATAAATGATACTTCCCCCATATTTTTTTTCAGTACAATAAAAATTTCTTAGCTCTTTTATAGTGAAAGTGCGTAATGCACAGTTTCCCTTGCAACTAATATTTACTCAAATGTTACTATGAAAAGGACTCTATAATTACAATAATTTATTTTTAAAAATTGACATTTATGAACAGTTGTGAGTATTTTCTGTAACAGATGACTTTAGATCTCTTTTTAGTTACAGGTTGGGTTTTTAAAATAAAATTGTCCCAAGAGCCCAATACTTAATACAAATAAACAATGTCAATTCAGAACACAGTTGAAAGGTAGGACAGTATCTGGCAAGGACTCACCCCTCATGTTAGCATTCATGCCTCTGCCTGCAGATCCGTGGCTGTGACCGTGCCCATGGTCACTGTGTCCATGCACATGGTGTGAATGGCTGTGATCAGATGAGTGACAGCTTCCTTGAGAAGCTCCATGGGTATGGTTATGGGCATGGCTAAAGGCACAGATACCTATAAGGTTTACTATCAGCCCTCCAACTGAGACTGGCTAGAAAAAAGAAAAAAGAAAACCTTTAAATTTGTAATTAAAAAAATAAACTTGTTATTTAAAAGTTATTATGTTGCTATATATGTTTTTTGGTTTATAGTTTTGAAAATATTCATAGTAAAACCTCATTAAATTCAGTAAGAAAATTTTAAAAGTGTGAATTTTAGAAGAAGCATTTAACTTTCAAATACCAAAGTGCTCACAAGTAAAAGGATTTAGATTTGCTTTAACTAAATGATTAAGAATAAAAATGTACTTGATTCAAGGTTTATGAATAAATGATGCTAAAGTTTTGTTTTGTTTATTTAAATAAAGAGTTTGAAAGTACTGCTTACTAGAGCAAGTATACACTGTACCTGAAATCTCATTTATATTACTAGGTAAATATCAATACTTTAAAAGGCAATGATTGTAATTTACTAATGAGTGGATTACAAATAAATACAGTCTTACTGTTTCTTAACTATAGTAAAATTTCCCAAAGTAAAAAAAGTACAATGGAAAAGTATTTTTTAAAAAACAAAGTAAATGAGATTATCTTGATTTAATGGTGCCACAATAACACCCCAAAGGATACTTACCCTTGATTATCCCCTCTTACAAAATGATTTTGAATAGTAGCTCTAGCTCAGGGCACTATTTAATTTACATACATCTACAATTTCTCCTTTAGAGAAATCCATTTGTTTTATTTTTAAGTTTTTAAATTAAAAAAAATTTTAACATCTTTACTGGAGTATACATAATTGCTTTACAATGGTGTGTTAGTTTCTGCTGTATAACAAAGTGAATCAGCTATACATATACATATATACCCATATCCCCTCCCTCTTGCGTCTCCCTCCCACCCTCCCTATGCAACCTCTCTAGGTGGTCACAAAGCACCAAGCTGATCTCCCTGTGCTCTGTGGCTGCTTCCCACTAGCTATCTATTTTACATTTGGTAGTGTATATATGACCATGCCACTCCCTCACTTCGTCCCAGCTTACCCTTCCCCCTCCCCATGTCCTCAAGTCCATTCTCTACATCTGCGTCTTTATTCCTGTCCTGCCCCTAGGTTCATCAGAGCCATTTTGTTTGTTTGTTTTTAAGATTCCATATACATGTGTTAGCATACGGTATTTGTTTTTCTCTTTCTGACTTACTTCACTCTGTATGACAGACTCTAGGTCCATCCACCTCACTACAAATAACTCAATTTTGTTTCTTTTTATGGCTGAGCAATATTCCATTGTATATATGTGCCACATCTTTATCCATTCATCTGTTGATGGACACTTAGGTTGCTTCTATGTCCTGGCTGTTGTAAATAGAGCTGCAATGAACATTGTGGTGCATGTGTCTTTTTGAATTATGGTTTTCTCAGGGTATATGCCCAGTAGTGGGATTGCTGGCTTGTATGGTAGTTCTATTTGTAGTTTTTTAAGGAACCTCCATACTGTTCTCCATAGTGGTTATATCAATTTACATTCCCACCAACAGTGCAAGAGGGCTCCCTTTTCTCCACACCCTCTCCAGCATTTATTGTTTGTAGATTTTTTGATGATGGCCATTCTGGCCGGTGTGAGGTGATACCTCATTGTAGTTCTGATTTGCATTTCTCTAATGATTAGTGATGTTGAGCATCCTTTCATGTGTTTGTTGGCAATCTGTATGTCTTCTTTGGAGAAATGTCTATTTAGGTCTTCTGCCCATTTTTGGATTGGGTTGTTTGTTTTTTTGATATTGAGCGACACATATCTTAATTGTGGAAGAATGAAAAACTAAACAACAGTTATAAGTCAATGTTGCTAAAAGAAGGTTGTACAAGATACAATGGGAATATTCAGAAAGGGAAATCTAACACACTTTAAGGTGGGAAGAGAGGGACTAAGGGAAAGTATCCCACCAAAGGCAACTTTAGAAGCAAAGCCGAAAAGGGCAGAAGTGAGGGAAGGGCGTGAGAACTATAAGGAACAGCGCATGTAAAGATTTGGAGGTACAGGGAAAACATTAAAAGTTGCCATAGCAGTAATTTAATCTAGAGTAAAGCCTTTGAATATTTCCTCAGGTATTCAAAAACACATCTTCAAACAAAAACGTTTAATAAGGCAGAAAAGAAACTGTTTTAGGATATTATCTAATATTTGACTACTAGTGTATTAGAGAAAAGTGTATTAATTAATTTCGAAGAGTCAGCAGTGTAAATGTAAATAGCAAGATAGGAAGTTATGTTAATTTAAATTAAAAAATAAGTAAATAAAACCTTCCTAGGTCAATAACTACAAGTAGTTAAACTTTAGCAGGGAAAAAGCTGTATGAGTTTGAGCAGAAATTCAAATAGGAAAATGAAAAGACTTACTGTTAACATGTGTGTGTCTAATTCCGGAGGATCAATTAATCTAGCCACTGATTCCATAAACACGAAAAAAGCTATTACCACTAGAAAAAGCCCATTAATAAATCCAGAGAGAATTTCTATTCGGCCATACCTAAAAATGTAGAATATATTTTTAGAAAAGGAAAATGACAAATATTTTTAAAGTATAAACATTATTATGTTACAAATGAGGAAATGATTTTCAATGACAGATTTTCAATTACACAAATAGTAAGACTAGAAAATTACCAAGATTATAAATATCATACTAATGCTGGAAGGTTCTTTCCATACATATATGTTTGTTGAAATCTTATATATTTATCAAAGTCCTTCGTCAATGTCCCTTCTTACACAAAGCCTGTCCTAATTTCTTAACAAGAAGTTACTTCTCTCTCCTTTAATCCTTTGGCGTTCTCTGTATCTCCGTCACAGCACATAGATTGGGCTTTGTATCAAAATTTTTTGTAATTTGGGGTCATCCATCTTTCAAAATATAAACAGCTGAAAGTAAGAGCTGAATTTATTAACCTATTTACAATAGTTCTTATCAAAATATCTTGCACAAATCAGGGATTCTAATATTCGCTGAACTGAATGATCACTTAGTGAAAGGATACTGCATCATTTCACTAATGATGACTTAGTGAAAGGCTACTGCATGCAGAGCCACTTTAAATTTTGAATTCTCTTTCTAACCGCAAAGATGTGAATGACCATGAACATTCCATTACCTCAAAGAAACACTGTTGGCCAAATAGCTCACTATTTAACTGATTTTTTGCTATCTACCTATGAGAGGGATTTGTCAGGGAGTATATAGTCTTAAGCTTACTGCCATTCAGTATTTATCAAATGCTTGGTTTAGTTTCTCTTATCTACTTTAAATTAAAGAAAAATGAAGCTCTGAAAAATTAAATTTGTATTAAAAGTGGTAAAATTTTATTCTATAAGATGGAATTTGCTACAAGCCTTGACAGTCAGGGTACCTACCCATAGGAGAATATCCGAGTTGCTTTCCATCTACTCATCAGGGCTGCAAAAAGTCCCATGACCAAAGCAGAGCAGTCAAAGAGCATGTGAAATCCATCTGAGATCAGACCCAGACTATTGGTCAACACGCCATAGAATAATTCCACAAAGGTAAAAAGCTAAAACACGTTTAAAAAAAATAGGAGAGGAGTATGTTGGGAAATACTGTTTCAAGAGCGATTTATCAGAATTTAATCGTAAGGATTTTAACCTTTAGTTACCCAAACCTTACTTGAAGATATTATATAACTGTCTCTTTCGTTATTTAACTGGTTCTCATACAAGAAACCTCATTTCATATAAACTATAAGAAATCAAGCTAAATCAGATATGTCTATCTTATAAACTATTTAAAAGGGGATAGTTTTATTTATATGTTTGTAGAACTAAATAAACTAGACTATAAAATGTTAGCAAACTGGTCGGCAGTGAGATCTTATAAGGAGTAGATAAAAATCTTTTTTTCTTTTTGGCTGTGCCGTGTGGCTTGTGGGATCTTAGTTCCCCGACCAGGGATTGAACCTGGGCCCCTGGCAGTGAGAGCAAGGAGTCCTAACCACTGGACCACCAGGGAATTCCTGATAAAAATCTTTATAAACTACTATATCTACTAATTTGAAATAGCACACTAAACCGTTTTTAAAATACTTCAAAAAATTGTTTAAGTAGTATGAATATGATCCTGTAATCTAATACTTAGAGAAAATATAATTTTAGCCCATTTCTAATTACTAAAATTATTTGGGAATTACTAAAATTATACCAGAACTGTCAAAATTAAAAGATTAAGCTTTTAAGATATGCCACTAATATTTAAAACTCTTACCAGATTCAAGCACAAGAAGTAAAAGATCTGCCTAGAGTCATTCTCCTCAAGAATTTGTTTTAGTGATTCCTTAATAAACCTAGGGATTGACTGGGAGCTATGCTGAAAAGCATCACCCATGAAGTTATAGAGAGGTGTTCCTTCAGGAGAATATCCAATTAGGGTACCTTTCTGTCCTCTCTTAGAAGGAGATGATAAGATGTTGGCAGCTAAAAATGGAAGAAAAAAAAAAAAGAGGGATATTATAAAAGTTTAAAAAATTTAAGCCACCAAAACCCAACACAGTATCTCTCAGCACTACATATATGAAGCATTGAACAAATTCCCAAATTTAGTAAATGACTGAACATCAGAATCCATAAGATGAAATTTGCTAAGGGGAAAAATGCTTACACAAAATGAAGAATATAGCGCTCACTACCACTCCTCCAGAAAGGACGTGTTCTGTGCTCTCCTGGTGTGCTGCTTTGTTTATGGCCCGAAGCTGGTCTGTTATGGGATGCGTCCAAAAATTTCCAAAAAGTAGAGCACTAATAAAAATGGGAAAGGATCCATATCGGGCACATTTGGAAACTTCCATTTTGACTGAACAAATGGAATCGACATAGAAATCCAGGATCATGACAAAAAAAATAACCGTTGTGAAAGGCATAATGAGAGAAAACCAAGACTCGACTTTACTCTAGAAATTAAAAAAAAATTTGTTAATACCATATGGGTATAAAGTTCACATCTTATATTTTAGTTAATTCCTTTATGTATAAACAAATATTCCCATGATTCAATATGATTTGTAAAATGCCAAAATATAAGAGTTATAAGATATTGGCACATTTTCCTAGTATTCCCCAAAGTATTAAAAAAAGAAGCATTATTGTTTAATAATTTTATAAATACTTGGTGATATATAATCCTTGGGTTTGTGGGTAGGTATTACATTATTATTAATATTATTATTAGTATTTAACTGATTCCTATGGGCCACAGGAATGGGAGGGATATATAAATGTAATAGTACTTGATAATTTAAAGCCACTTGCAACATCAAATTGAAATAAAATACAATGTACTGAACTAAAATCTATAAATAACAGCAATTTATTTTACTTATTACCAATAAATTCCTGCTCTTACCTCAGTTGTCACAGAAAGAACAATGACCCATGGGCATAAGAGAAGCACAGAAACAATATGGGATAAAGCTTGAAGACGTTTGGTTCCACCAATATCTATAGAGAGTTTTCTGGAAGCTGTATGAAAACCAACTTTACAACACAAAGCCAGTACTAGCAATAATACTCCACCCTATGAGTAAAAGTAGATAAGTCTCATTAGAAACACACAGTTCAACACTCAAGTCTTAAATACATAATATTTAAAGAAATGGAGCTAGCATGTTTTTTCCATAACCCAAATTACTGAACTACTTAAATGGCTGGCAGTACTGTAAATTACTGATAACTTATTTTAAATGTACTTTTAAAGCTACAGTTGCTGTAACTTTTCAGAATCTCTTGATCACCTTAGGAACAAAGAAAAGAACATACCTTGTGATCTGCCACACCTAAGAAGGCAATGGCTGTGTAAAGCATGTGAGTTAGAGCACTGTCATGATGTCCTTCAGCTAAGTGAGTTGGAATGAAGGAAAAAAAATTCCAAATATTAACTCTTTGAATCCTGAAGTCTTCCTGGAATTTTAGCTACATTATTTTGGGTTGACTATACACTAATCTGAAGGCAAACCTGACTATCCTCAACAATATGTTTCCCTTAAAAACAAAAGAAAATAATTAAAAATTTAATTTTGGGACATGATTTATAAATTAGAATGGCCTATATATATTTCTTTTGTTGTCTCCAAAACAATTATAATAGTGCTTAAGGCACAGTTGTTAAATTTTAGTACTTAACCTCCAAGACATATGCATGCATACTCTAAAGAGGACAAAGGGACAAGAGCAAGGAACCTCCTTAGATCACTCCTATCCAATGGAATTGGATATGCCATATAAAAATCAGTCCTAAATCTGTTTCTAAGCCATTGACCACATAAGCCTCAGCAAAGCAAGCAACAAGCAAAAGAGGGTACAGTGGGCAACAAATGTCTAACAATCAACCTGGAGTTCTGCAAAGTCATGCTGTCCTCTTTCACTGTAACAAAGTAAACTGACATTAGTTAACTAATAGGTTTTACAGCAGTATCAGTAACCACAAGGATCAAAACTGGTGTTCTGAGTCCTGCTAAATGGAGTGGGCAAGGGTATGTAGATAGGAAAGAACAGTGCATGACTGCAGAGGAAAATGAGTAGATATATTTGACTGGAAAGTTGGGTTTATATAAGAGACAAGTGGAGGATGAGTTGGAAATAATAATTTAGAGCAAGAGGGCGAATACCAGGTTAAGGAATTTGAACTTCTTCTTTCAGGCAAGATGCCAAAGGTTTTTCATTTAATCTCAAAAAAGTTTCTATTTAATAATTGCCACTGACTTCTAAAAGGAGCATTTAAATTGTTAAATTACAAGAGAGCAAATAGATTGATTTTGTTGAGTGGTAAATCACCTATTTTCTTTTTAATAGCATCAGGACATTCTAAAATATTCTTTCATTGTCCCTAAATTTCTGAAAACTTAGGGTGCTGTAAAAGATATTGAGATGCTATAAAATATTTAATTTAGAATGAATTTATTCATTATTTGAATACTGATTTAGAATACCTACATCAACCTATGAAAGTTTCATTCATGATTGATCAGTATAATTCAGTCACTCCTTCATTTCCCATTGTGCCAGACTAAAAAACTCCGATCTTTTGCAAAAGGATACGGTGTTCAGCCATTTTAGCCATGAGATCATCATTGTCGAAAAGCAATAGGCAGATCACAGCAATAATGAAAAAAGCAGCCCCTCTTGTCTGAAAATGAAGAGAGTAACAGCAAGAATAGCTTTTTCAAGTGTCAATTTTTAAGACCATGACTATACAAATGCTAAAGAAAATTTTTTTCAGACAAATATTTAAATAAAATATAACATCTGACATTAAAGTCCTTATACTGTACAATATAAATTTACAGTATTAACAGTAAGATACAAAAGTAAAGAGCTCCAACAAATTCTGTAGGGTATTTTTAGGGCACTTGACAATCTGACAACTTCAGTTGTCTCCTTGCTAGTACTGATCAGCATGTTACCATGTACAAACCATTAAATGTTCACAGAACTAATCTTCCTAAATGTTACTTTGCTTCTGTTTGAAAAGCCCAAGTAACTAAGGAATAATTAGTAGTGACCTAATTTATTCTACAACATGCAAGTAATAGAGAAGACAGCTGATTTACAATAATGTCAGTAACCTAGTTACCACTCTTCTAGGGAAAAAGAACTAAGAGGGCATGTTAAGAAAATTAGCAAAGTCATCTCTAATAGCTAGTAAAGGTATTAAAAGCTGAATACACTTCTTATGTTCTCATTCCACGGAAAGGATTTTGACAAGAGAAAATATAGAAAGGGCATACTATCCACGTTTATGCAAATACTTCAGAATTTTTGGTACAGAAGCAATCTAAATAGCATTATTATACACTCTCTATTTACAAATTTATAGGTGTAATACCAGATACTTGGATAAAATAAAAATTTTAAGTGAAAAATGAGGATCCTATTTTATTCATTATATGACTACCACTACATCTGATAAATTCTCTATTAGTGTGGTAGGTATTTTGACAAAAGTTAGTATACATAAACCACATAATTTAAAATTTCATAATTTTCATTGAATCAGGACATGGTAACATTAACAATACCCAAATATGGAGAATATAACGTAATCTTTTCTTAGCAAAGAGGGCAACTGAGAATTTTGTGATGCTTCAGAGTCAGACTAAGGAAAAAAAAAGTCACAGTCCTGGCGAGATGCCCAGATTCATTATTGACGCTAATGACAGGATATTAAGATCCATACTCTCATTTCTGATTACTGCAGTAAAATGTTTGTTTAATGTTTTAAAGTCATTTGTATTTCTTTTGTGAGTTGTCTTTTCCTGCACTTTGCTCATTTCTATTGAGGATCTTCAGCATTTTTTTAAACTATTTGAGTGATTATACTTAAAAAAAAAAAAAGTAGGGGCTTCCCTGGTGGCGCAGTGGTTGAGAGTCCGCCTGCCGATGCAGGGGACACGGGTTTGTGCCCCGGTCCGGGAAGATCCCACATGCTGCGGAGCGGCTGGGCCCGTGAGCCATGGCTGCTGAGCCTGCGTGTCCAGAGCCTGTGCTCTGCAACGGGAGAGGCCACAACAGTGAGAGGCCCACGTACCGCAAAAAAAAAAAACAACAAAACTTTTACCTGTGGCAATTTGTTATTGTTGTTAGTTTGTTGTTTGCACAATGATTTCTGTTACACAGATGCTTGTAATCATTATGCAGTCAAACGTACGTGGTTTCCCCTTTGTGATTTTTTTCTACTGGTTTTATGCTCAGAAAGTTCTTCTCTGTCCACAGATTAATTATCCATCTATATTTTATTCTATACTTTTACAAATATCTTTTTTTTTTAACCACAAAAATCTTCAATCCACTTGACATTTATTTTGGAGTACTCTGTGAGTGAGGGGAAAAGATTAAATAGTGGCATATGCTTTAATACCCAAGGATCCAATTTGAAATCTACAGGCTGGGTAGACTCTGCTCTACTTGGCATGTTACTTTGTTCACTTTATTTTATTCATCTGCCTCCATTATTTAGCCTGAAAGCCCCTTTCAGAACAGAAACTATTAAGCCTTATTTGCCTTTATTTCTCCTTTCCTCTGTAACGAGCACAATGCGTCATGCATAGGAAGCATTTAATTTGGTAAATAAAAGTATTGTAGGTGTAAGTTACAATTGCACATTGGTGATGCATTTACTGAAAAGAGATTAATACTTAAATTATGGAAGATGAATAGGGTCACCTAGTTGGCAAAACATTCATCACACTTTAAATATACCAAGTTCTTAGGGATGTATTTTCCAAAAATGATGTATAGGAGTTAAGAATGAGAGAGGGGAGGGATCAGGTATAGCACGAAGGAGATGTCTGTGGTGATCAATCAGTCCTGCACCTTGACTGTGGTGATGGTTACACAAATCTACACACACACACACATATACACACAAGTGTATGTAAAACTGGTGAAATCTGAATAAGGTCCATGGATTGTACCAATGTCAATTTCCTGGTCTTGATAGTATAAGAGCTGGGTAAGAAGTTACTATTGAAACTGAGTGAAGGGCACAAGGATCTCTCTGTACTATATTTGCAGCTTCCTAGGAATATATAATGATTTCAAAATAAAAAGTAAAACACAAAATGTTTGTGAGAAAAATTTATAATTAGCAGAAAAAGCCTCTGCATTCTTTTAAATGGTAAAGGATCCTATTTTACTGCCCTAGATAGTATTTTACATGTACACTTTCAATTTTCAAGTAACGAATAATGTAAAATTCTACCTTTGCTGGTCCTCCTCCAGAACTAGTGAACAAAACACTGAGCAGTGAGATGACAACAATATCACTGTGCTCGAATAGCAGCAAAGTCCTACAAAAATAAAACATTATCATTCATGAAATATATCTGATATTTATCAGGAAGCATGAATTCAACTAGAGTAAGGGAGAAGAAAATAAATCTTTCCCCTTGATTTTCATAAAACATTATGGGAAAAATAAACATGTACAGCTGTTTTGGAAAATATTCTGGCATTATCTGTCTTAGGAAGGTTGAAGCTACAAATATCTAATAATACCACTTGTAGGATTATATCATACAGGTTTCTTGTATATATGTACCAGGAAACACTTATAAGATACCAGCATTGTCTGCAATAGCCCAAAACTAGAAACAACCTAAATACCCACTGATGAGAGAATGGATAATATAATTTAGAGTATATTCATTCAAAGGACTATTATACAGTGGTAAAAATGAATGAAATTCTATGAATATATTAAGAAATACAGAATTGTATACTTTAAAAATGCTACAAACTGAATGTATGTGTCTCCTTCTCTCCCCCATTCATACGTTAAACTCAATCACCAACGTGACGGTATTAGGAGGTAATGAACACCTTTGAGAGGTGCTTAGGTTATGAGGGTGAAACCCTCATGAATGGGATTATTGCCTTTATAAAAGAGACCACAGAGAGCTCCCTCGCCCTTCTGCTATGTGAGGTTACAGTGAAGAGACAAGACGGCTGTCTATGAACCAGGAAGCAGTCTCTCACCACACATTGAATTTGCTTTGCCTTAATCTTGGCCTTCCTAGCCTCCAGAACCATGAGAAACAAATCTGTATTTTTTAAGAGTCACCCAGCCCATGGTATTTTTATTATAGCAGTCCCAATGGACTAAGACAAAAAGAGTGAATTTTATGGTATGTGAATTACATTTCAAAAAACTAACACAAAAGTGAATGAACTATATATATATGTGTGTGTGTATATATATATATACACACACACACACACACACTTACACACACACATACATACATACACACACACATACTCTACATGCATCAAAATGGGCAAATCTCAAACACAACACTGAATGGAAAATGTATGCTGTACAAAAATACATGCAATGTAATACTATTCATATGAAGTAGAAAACTTGCAAAAAAGAAATGTGTACATATATGGTAAAACTATAAAGAAAACCAAGAGAATGAAAAGCAAAATTTAAGATGCTGGTTACATCCAATGGTAGGGGGAGAGGGGGATACACAGGGCAACAAAGGTACTGGTAAGGTTTTATTTGGGGGGATACATGAATGTTCATATTTATTTATATTTATTATTTTATATGTATGAATATTAAAAAAATAAAAACATTATTGCCAGCTAAAGGGAGCTTATAGGATCTACATGGGAACAGATTTTCAGCTGCTCATTAGAAAAATTTTCATTTTTCCTCCTTATTCAAAAATCTGTAATGAGAACACAGTAGTGATTATTTTAGTTCTGTTAATATTTGGGAGATTACAATAAAAAAAATATATCAGCAGAATGATACTAACTTAAAATAAGACAGGCTATGAAACACCAAAGGAGTCTTTCTAATCAAGAAACTGAATGACAATTTTAGTAAAAGAATGAGAGGGGCAGTGCTGGCAGAGGAGCTGGTGCTACGTAGTGAGTGGTTGTAAGGGCAGAAGTAGATGACTAAATAAGGAGCCAAGGAAGAATTTAACAACTTTCCCCCTTCCTTCCCTAGCCTAACACACAGGGACAGTGATTTAGTAACAAACAGACCAAAAGATCACTTCATGAATAAGAAATTACCGCTCAATCATATTCAAGCATAAACTGAAAAGGTTTTCCCCAAGCTGAGAAATCCCAGCCAGCTTTCCCACCACACCAGGAAGCTGCTGCTGTCACGGACAGGGATATGACATTGGAATTATATACACCCTTCCTTTGACAAAGCACAGAGTAAACAAGCCAAAGGGAGCCAAACCCAGAGCTATTCTATTGTCTGGGAGAGGAGAAAAGACTTTTCACAAAGCATTTCCCACTGATCACTTTCTACTGTCCACTCCATCATCCTCAGTGAGATTCTTCAGAACACCCTTCATCTTATTCCTTACTTCTTGTCCCATATTCCGCCCCCCCCATCAATGGCAAGGCACTTTTGCTTATAATTTTGAGATAGAGAAATATTAAAAGAAGACTTATGCACAGTTGCACCTGTTATAATTCCTATTAAATTAAGCGGCCCTAAAGCATTTCCCACCCCCCCCTTACTGACCAATTTACATAAAAAGATCTATAGAGACTTAAGGGAATATGAAATGAGAGTTAAACTTATCTTTGATGATTGGCTCACTATTCCCAAGACATCTGTTTATAACCATATCTTTCAAGCATCTTCTGTGGGCAGTAGAGGACTTTCAGAGTTGGGGGGGAGGGGGAAGCATTTTTTAAAGATTTTCCTTTCCTCCTTATTGGTTGATTTTATTTACCATTTCAGACTTTTCATTTCTAAAATCAGCTGCTAAAAGGGATCACCAATGAATAAAAAGTCACATATCCTAAATTTTTCTGAAACTGTTTGGACTCTAGCTAGTAAAATATCTATGACAGATCATGAACAATACATTAATGGTATTCACCAAAGAACTAGTCCACAAGCTAAACAGGTCCTCAATATATATATATACTCAATGAGTTGTACCCAATGCTATAGAAGTGAAAGAAGCATTTGTACATAACTGACAAACATTTGACATAAAACATAATGGCATAAAACTAATATTCAAAATGAAGAAACATAAACATTCAAAATATGCATTTCTATTTACCTTAGTGGTCCACAAAGAGTGAGGCCAAAAAACCACAAAAGTGAAATGATACACCCAGCAACTGCATGTTTAAATATTTTGATCCACTAAAAATAGAAACAAAAAATTAAAAATTTCAGTCATATGTTTTGCCAAATATCTCAAAATCTTAAATAAAATACATAGGGAAAGATAATGGTAACACAAATATTTTAATGGCCAAATAGTTACATATTTTAAAATTAAATAGAAATTATTAAGATCCCTTGACTAAATCTAGATTTGCAAGATAGTATTCTGTTTTTCATTTTCCATATTCTTGTCTGTTGCTAGATCCTGAAATCCTTTTCTATAGCATACAATTTTCTCTGTTTTTAACAGTAGTTCTCACTAGTTTGCTAGGAACACTTAATGTTTTAGTTTTTAAATTCTTCTCCAGCAGGGATATTCAGTCCTTAAATTATTTGAAAAGAGAGGGAAAAAAGTTAAGATGGGGTTTAAAATATTAATCCTGTTTTAAAAAATGTTCTTGGTCTCTAAAACAGAGGTACTTAAATTCGTCTAATAAAAAATCATGGCACAGGTTTCTAAGTTGTGGCATAAAGCAAATATGTAGTAGGGTGTAACTACTGTCCAAAGAGGTGATAATATGAGATGATGCAGAATGAAGGACATTTCTGGTATGCATCCTGAACCTCAGATGCTTAAAGGGAATAATAGCGATGAAGAGGGGGACAGCTGATATGTACTGCATACGCACTGTATGCCACGCACTATTTTAAGAACTTTACATGTATTAATTCATTTATTCCTTATAGCTCCATTAGGAAGGCATTATTATCTCCATTTTACAGGTCAGAAAATGAAGGTAGAGAAATTAAGTAACTTGCTTAAAGTAAGGTTTGTAATTAGAACAGCCATGAATTTGTATGACTCCAGAGGCCTTGTTCGTAACCCTTATGCTTTATCTGCTTCCCAGTGACATTTATCCTAGGCTTGTGGGCATGTCTACATGTCTGATTTGTAAATCTTTTCAGCATATGGATCCTGTATTAAAAAAAAATTATATGCACGCTTGAAACATTTTCTACCCTCGTCTACATTTTTAAACACTTCATTATCTTAGCACTTTAGCATTTACTCTTAAAGCCTCAGTTCTGAAATGCTAAGTCAAGGGCAAGTTAACTCTGGAAATGTTCTGCTGAGCACTTAAAATCATTCAGTAAGTAACCCTGATCAAGGAAAGAACACTGCCTCCTGGTCCACTGCTAGGACAAAAGGATTCTGCAAAAGACTTACCTGGCGTTTGGTAATACTTTTCCCAGAAGAAAAAGGCTTTTGAAACAAAACCATAAAAAATGCAGTCCTGTGAATATTGAAACATTAATATATTAATATTAATCTTATATACAAGGTGTGGTTTTAAGTAAAGACACTTAAACAAATATACTAGAATTTGAAGGGTATGTTAACCTCTAAAGAAAATATACTAGAGAACAATATTTATTTTAATAAGGCTTCCACTACAATATTTTGGGAACTCTTCTTTCTTTTGTTATCTGCCTTCAGAACCAGTTTACAAGCCATAAAAGAAGTCTCAATATTTTTTATACTTTACTAAAGAAAATAATTCCTATCTTCTCTAAAACAGTAATAACAAATCTTGAAATAGAAATGAAGAAAGTACTAATCATATATCCCTACTTTTCATATTCCCAAAATAGTTATCTAAAAATATATTCAAGTGGTGCTAAAAATTTTCTAGTCAAGAATCACTTTCCATAATTACTAAAATTGCCAGAAGTCTAACAGATTCTTTTCTTTTCTTTTCTTTTTTTTGTCTGAGTTGGGTCTTTGTTGCTGTGCACGGGCTTTCTCTAGCTGCAGCGAGCGGGGGCTACTCTTCATTGCGGTGCGCGGGTTCTCATTGCGGTGGCTTCTCTTGTTGCAGCAAGTGCGCTTCAGCAGTTGTGGCGTGCAGGCTCTAGAGTGCAGGCTCAGTAGTTGTGGCGCATGGGCTTAGTTGCTCGCAGCATGTGGGATCTTCCATGGACCAGGGATTGAACCCGTGTCCCCTGCATTGGCAGGCGGATTCTTAACCACTGTGCCACCAGGGAAATCCCTAACAGATACCTATTAATACAGAGGTTGGTCACTATCAATCTCAAGGTCCAGAGAATCTTTACTTAGAGAGGATTTCTTACTAGATGCAGAATAGTGTAAAATTTATACTGTAAGGGGACCCTATACCATGAAGGGACATGTAGTGAACACAGCCCAGCATGGTTTAACTTGGAAAATAAGGAACATCTGTGCCAAGACAAGTCTCAGGTGACATTCTATGCCTGCTGGAAGGTTAGACTATGCTAGTAGGATGGTCTGGGAATCCCTAGGGTCCCTGAGGCCCTTTTAGGGAGCTGTGAGATCAAACTATTTTTTTCTTAAACATTAAAAAAAATTATTTTAAAAATATTTATTTTTTATTTGGTTGCGCTGTATCTTAGTTGTGGCTCATGGGCTCCTTAGTTGTGGCATGCATACTCTTAGTTGTGGCATGCATGTGGGATCTAGTTCCCTGACCAGGGATTGAACCCGGGCGCCCTGCATCGGGAGCTCGGAGTCTTAACCACTGTACCACCAAGGAAGTCCTGAGGTCTAACTATTTTTACAGAAGTATTAGGATATTATTTGCCCTTTTCACTCTTATTCTCTCAGGGGTGTATATTAGAGCTTTTCAGAGGCTAGTTCATGTGAGATACTGCAACAGACTGAATACTGACTCAGATATGGGGATCCAGCTGTATTCTATTAAGCCAGACATTAAATTTGCAAAAACCTCATTAACACAAACTAAAGCAAAAGCTGATGTTTTGGCAAGCTAATAGAATATGACAATCCTTTTTTTTTTTTTTTTTTTTAAATCCAGTCTCTTGGTACCTCTAACCTTAGGTATTCTGTCTTTAAAAGAAAATTATCAAGTACTTGTCAGGAGGAATAAAATGCACAAAATATTCTATGTAAAACATCCTAAAGATACTCAGTTAAAACAGGATTTTCAAAGAAATTAAAAAACATTAAGGAAAAAAAGAGCCATACACACTCACCCAAGTTTTAATATAAAAATAAACTGAACAATGTGAACTACTTTCAGGAGGTCATATGATTCAAAAAGCCCCACAGCCTTCAAAACTTTAGTGACACACAGTAATACAATATATTTCGTTAACCTGAAAAATAAAAACAGAAACAAGTTTCAGTATCATTGAAATCACAAAGAACTCTGTAATCCTTTTTTTTCTTATTATACAAGTAATAGGGGTCTTTATGAAAACCATAAATATAAACAAAAAATGAAACAAACAAAAACTCAACTCACCCCTCCACGTGATAACTACTATTAACACTTTGGTATATATACTTTCAGATTTTTTGCAATATACATGGACGTATAATGTATGCATAGATACAGTCTATTAAAGAAAAAAAGACCAAACTAAAAATAAAAATGTTCTTGATTGAGTTGCCTCAACTATTTTCTAATGTGCTTTTTAAACAATTACTCCAAACAAATAAAGGGAATAAAAACAGAAACCAAACCATCTGTCATGAAACGAGACTATAATATAGGAAGGGAGGGGGGAATGGTGAATGCCTTAGGTTTACCTCTCCTCTGCTTCGCTAAGTGACTGCAGTGAGTCACAGTTGAAGTGACCTGACCTACAGAGTCCTGAGAAGGCTCAGGAATCTGAAGCACCTCAGAAAGGGTGTGGAGAGCTGCAAAGAGGAGGATCATTAGGAAGTCTGCCAGGTAGTTAGGTCCCCAGAATCCCACCCAGCACAGCCAGGCAACCATCCCTCCTAAATCATGACAGGACAAGAGCTTCGCCTTTGGAGAAGTCTAGACATAAGGCAAAGGGGAAAAGAGGGATGAAGTGTTGGACTAAAATCATGGAGATTAAAAGGAAGTTTCCCTTCTTAACCCCACCCCACCTGCCTTCCCTCATTTAACTCTAACATCCTAACTGCCAGGCTTCAATCTCCCAGCAGGAGAACCTGCTCTGGAGAAGCCCACCAGGGGACAAGCCCCATACAGGTCTTCTAACTAGCTTTTTGGGCCTCACTCAAATAAGAATGGCCAAATATGGATAATCAATCCTTTACGATAAGCCTATAATGAGAGACCAAACAAACTAAAACAGCAAAGAAATTTAAAAGATACAGAGATCACAGGGAATAGCAGAAAACAACGAAGAACTAGAAATAATATTCTTGGATAAGAAAGAAAAGTTCATCCATGAAAAAATTAGGCTGCCATAAAAAGAAACGAAAAAGAAGCTCCTGAAAGAGCAATCAGAAAACAGTGAAGAAATTATCTCAGTTTTCTAGCTTAGTAGTCTTCTTTGGTCATATACCTCTAGTAGTAAAAAAAAATTTTGCACCTGAAACCGATTATTTGTACATTACAAACATGTACTACTCTCCTGATATTATGTTATAAAACATACACAAACTAGAAATGAAAAAGAATGAGATAAAAAGGTGAGAACTTCTAATATCTCCCCCCAACAGATCATCTTTGCAAGTCATTCAGGAGACTACTTTCTAAGTTTGTATCTAACAGGTGTTAATACATTAAAAAGGAGATAAAAGGGATGTCCAAAGCCAGCACACCAGCAGGAGTGAGAAGTCTCTACCAATGGGAGAAAAGTACAAAAAAGCAAACACAGGAGTTTAAGGGAAACCTAAGTCATTCAAATAGCAGTTAAAACAATTTGATATGCAATGATATCAATGTATGTAGGATGGTATAAAAATCAATGAGTGTGAATCATTAAGTCCCATGGCACTGAATCAACAAACAGCAATCTGCTTAAGAAGGCATGAAAATATATATATTTTTGGAAGATTTTGATGCAACTACGAAAATAAATTTCAGTCCTTGAAAGAATGAATCTCAGCAATTCCAACATCTTCACTGTCTGATGGCTCATTTTCTGTTTTAGTCCAAATAATATCATAGTATATTAAAGAAACTCAGATTTGGAACAAAGTGGTTTTTCTTTTCATGAACATAATCTGGGGGGCTTTTTAATAGTGCAATCTGGGAGTTTTAACAATGTGAAAATTAATCACCAAGAAGTTAATAAAAATGTTATTGTGGAATAAAGTAAGTCAAATCCTAAAGCACAGAAGTTCCTACTTAATTTACCTGGAGAATAGTATAGACACTGAAATTTCTGTTTAAAAGATCAAGCAGATTTTCTGGGGTGATAAAAACGTCCTATAGCTTGATTATGTTGAAAGTTACATGGGTATGCATTTGTGAAAAATGAAAACTGGTACCTTTAAAATCTATGCATTTTATGGTAGGTAATTTTATCTCAATGAAAAAAGGAGTATTGGAAAAAATAAATAAAACTAAAATTATGGCTATGATAAAAATCGATTGTATTTTGTTTCTGGATTGTTTGCAGACTGGCTGAAAACACACAGTACAACATGAAAAATCTACCAAATTTCTAGTAATTGTCTAGGTATTTACTAGAAAGTAAATGTATATATGCTAGAAGAAACAGAACACTAATATTTAAAAGCTGCAAAACACCTTAGAGATTCTCTAGTCCAATTCCTCTCATGTCACAGATTGGGAAGTTGAAGTCCACAGAGTTAGCTAGGGTCAAGTCCATGTCTCTTAAGTATGCTCTTTTAATATGTCACACAGAAAACCAAAGTTCATCCAAAAGGCTTTGAGGATTCCCATCTTCTAAACTGTTCCCAATTATACACTCACAGTGGCCCACATATAGGGTAAAATAATCTTTAAATATGAAAAACAAAATGCATATTAAAACCTAAGATTAATGTCGATTTTGGCCCATTTAAGCTAGAGAAAAAAGTCAGATAAACTTAAGTAAATTAACTATATTAATGTTAATTAAATACTCCAGTCATGGTAGCAATTTATAATTAGCAAATAAAAACACTGCTCTTGAGCTAGAAATCTTTTGTTTATTCAGTTCTTAACCCAGGGACTTGCATATAATAAGTGCTCAGCAAATGTTTACTAAATGAAAGAATGCGGATTCTACAATTACACTTGTGTGATGCAGTACTATCTAGCACAATAATGTAGATAGTGCAGTAGTACAGTACATAGCTGGCAGTCAAGCTCCTGGCAATTTAAACTGTCATCAACCCAGTTATGAATTCAGAATGAAAGACACACATCAAGTAGAGAGAGGAAAGCTCAAAACCTCAAGTGCTTCACTCCTTAAGTTCTTAACTAGGTGTAAAATTAAGCAGCAGGATAGAAGCAAGGACACAAAAAACAACACTGTCAACAAGACAGGGAGGGAGAAAACAAAGACCAGGAAAAACTGACAAAGGTACATTAAAAATCACAGCAATCTGGGGATTCTTGAGGTCAGCAAAGAGCCTTGTATACCCTCATGGGGCTACTAAGCCATTCTTCAAATATTCCCTGCTCACTTACTATGTGCCAGATGTCATCTGGGGCTAATGAGAGCTGTCTGTCAGGGTGGTTTCAGCTACTACAGCCTTCCCTCTTCCTGATAAAAGGGCCTGAGGCAGGTGGAACTAGTTCTGCATTCTTTCTGACTTCAAAGGAGGACTTTTATCTAAAATTTATCTTAAAAATACTATCAACATGTTAACATTCTCTAGAAAATGTCATCCATTTTATAATAAGCCTGAATATGAGAGCCACACTTGGGATGGCAGAGAGCAAAGACCAAGAATCTGGTCCCAGATGGTACTGCTGAGGGGCTGAACAAATACCAGCAACCTCTGGTTTCTTTTATGTGAGAAGAATATATCCGTATGTGATTAAAGCTCTCTTAGTTTGGTTGCTCACAACTAAATGCATTTCTAGGTGTTATCCAAGAAACTAAATGTGTAACAGAGGCCCTGCCCTCAAGGAGTTTGAGGTCTAAGGAAGACAGGCAAGAAACAAGTATTTATGTGACCCAAGTTAGTAGCAGAGATCTAAAGGAATAGATGTGGAAGTAACTAACTGTAACTAGGGAAGCAAAAGTCATCTTCAGAGTCTGAGATGTCTAAGTGTGTATTAAAGACTAAGTAGAAAAAACAAACAACCCAATCAAAAAACGGGCAGAAGACCTAAATAGACATTTCTCCAAAGAAGACATACAGATGGCCAAGAGGCACGTGTTAAATTGCTAATTATCAGAGAAATGCAAATCAAAACTACATGAGGTATCACCTCACACCAGTCAGAATGGCCATCATCAAAAAGTCTACAAATAGGGCTTTCCTGGTGGTGCAGTGGTTGAGAGTCCGCCTGCTAATGCAGGGGACACGGGTTTGTGCCCTGGTCTGGGAAGTTCTCACATGCCGCAGAGCGGCTAGGCCCGTGAGCCATGGCCGCTGAGCCTGCGCGTCCGGAGCCTGTGCTCCGCAATGGGAGAGGCCACAACAGTGAGAGGCCCGCGTACCGCAAAAAAAAAAAAAAAAAAAGTCTACACATAATAAATGCTGGAGAGGGTATGGTGGGGATGTAAATTGGTGCAGCCACTACAGAGAACAGTAGGGAGGTTCCTTAAAAAACTAGAGTTGCTGGGGAATTCCCTGGTGGTCCATTGGTTAAGATTCCAGGCTTTCACTGCTGGGGGACCAGGTTCGATCCCTAGTCAGGGAGCTAAGATCCTGCAGGCCACATGGTGTGGCCAAGTAAATAAATAAATTAAAATGTAAAAAACAAACAAAGTTGCCATATGATCCAGCAATCCCACTCCTGGGTATATATCCAGAAAAGAGGAAAACTCTAATTGAAAAGATATGTGCACCCCAATGTCCACAGCAGCACTATTTACAATAGCCAAGACAAGGAAGCAAGCTGTGTCCATTGACAGATGAATGGATAAAGACGATGTGGCACACACACACACACACACACACACACACACACACACAACGGAATATTACTGAGCCATAAAAAAATCTCTCCCCAACAGATCACCTTTGCAAGATGATGCAGCAACATGGATGGACCTAGAGATTATCATACTAAGTGAAGTAAGTCAGACAAAGACAAATACCATATGATATCACTTATACATGGAATATAAAAAAAGATACAAATGAACTTATTTACAAAGCAGAAACAGACTCACAGACATAGAAGACAAACTTATGGTTACCAAAGGGGAAAGGGGGGGTGGGAGGGATAAATTAGGAGTTTGGGATTAATAGATACATGCTACTATATACAAAATAGATAATCAACAGGGACCTACTGTATAGCACAGGGAACTGTATTCAATATCTTATAATAATCTATAATGGAAAATAATCTGAAAAGAATATATATACATATAACTGAATCACTTTGCTGTACACCTGAAACTAACACAACATTGTAAACCAACTATACTTCAAGTTAAAAAAAAGAAAAAGACTAAATAGAATTACGAAGCAAGGAAAGGGAGGGGGAATTTCAAAGTACGGAGAGCAGCATACGAAGAACGCTAGTACTGGGACGGACCTTTGAAGAAAAGCTCGGTTCACCAGATTACGCTCATAATGATCAGAAGTCATCAAGAAAAAGGTAAACTATATTTAATATACTTGTTTAAAAAAGATGGGGCAATATATAAAATTATTTCTAAATAATTTTTGTTTAAAGTATTAACAAAACTTGGGCTTCCCTGGTGGCGCAGTGGTTGAGAGTCCGCCTGCCGATGCAGGGGACACGGGTTCGTGCCCCGGTGCGGGAAGATCCCACATGCCGCAGAGCGTCTGGGCCCGTGGGCCACGGCCGCTGAGCCTGCGCGTCCGGAGCCTGTGCTCCGCAGCGGGAGAGGCCACAACAGTGAGAGGCCCGCGTACCGCCAAAAAAAGTATTAACAAAACTTAAAAATTTGCCACTTTAATGGCAAGATTCAGTCATATGGAACATTAAGTATAATATTTCTTGACAATATTATTATTATGAAATTTCTGATACTTTATTCCCCTTTTAAGTTCTAAAAAACAGATTACGAAAGTAATTCCTGAGTAGTTGGTTGTTATCAAAGTTTTAAAGAAAACCATTCCCAATTTCCTCCTCATAGGTGACCAACTGGGGACATCCTTCCACACCTTTTCCTTTGCATCTGCACGTATGGACAAGCACTTATTTTAGATACACTCACATATTCACCATTGTACATATATTTTGAAATTGTTACGTGACTTTTCATGTAATATATAGTGAAGATCTTTTATCATTATTAATTAGGAAAATTATTTTAACATTTAGCTAAAAGGTGAATACTTTGATTTTTAAAGTGTCAATTAATGAAGTCTTCCTGTTGGGCTAAAGACAAAACACTAGCTAAGGCCAAATAACCATATACTAATAAGTACACAATCCTAGTTCATGTTGTGGAGGAAAACATACTAAGGGGGAAAGCTGGGATGTGAGGAAGGGAGGCTCTTAAATGGGGGCAGTGGCCCCTGAGCCACTCACTGACTCTTTGGGCAACTTAGCGGGATCCAATCCACTCCCCCTTAGTACCTGAGACGGCTTATATATCATTATCTGCCATTAACTAGTCTCATCAAAAGTATCACTGGTATTTTCCGTGAAGGGTTAGAAAAATCTCTGGTTCTTTAAATCTGAAATTACTGAAATTTGAGTTTGGGTTCAAACCCGTTTCTTGGGATTTGCCCACTGTAGCAGCTCACAGTTCTCCAGTTAAAAAAACAAATTCAGTGTATGTAATTCAAGCTTGATACATTCAATAAATATTTAAGTGTCCACTGTGTAGAAGGCGCTATAAATGAAGTTTGAGGTAACTGACTCTCAGATTAGTTACTAGGTGTGTGACCTTGGGAAAATTACTTTTCTATGTCCCAGTTACCTGATCTGAGACAAGGATGCAACTAATGAGTCTGTAGTGCTGTTGTAAGGATTAAGTGAGATGCTGCACGCCAAGTACCTAGAACACAGGAAGTACTTAATAAATGCTGGCTGTCACCCTCTGCCCTTTCCTGCAAAGAGGACTTATTGAAGCCAACATAGAAACATTTTTTTTTTTTTGCAGTATGCGGGCCTCTCACTGCTGTGGCCTCTCCCGTTGCGGAGCACAGGCTCCGGACGCGCAGGCTCAGCGGCCATGGCTCACAGGCCCAGCCGCTCCGCGGCATGTGGGATCCTCCCGGACCGGGGCACGAACCCGTGTCCCCTGCATCGGCAGGCGGACTCTCAACCACTGCACCACCAGGGAAGCCCAACATAGAAACATTTAAAACAATTCATATTTGTGAATTCAGGAATAAAAATATCCACAATTAAAGGATCTGTTAATTAGCTTTTGCTGCAGATTATAACCATACTTTGATTTTTAGTCTACATAAAGGAAAACTCTTGCAACCTGAAATCTATTCAAAATTCAACCAGTCCTGATTTGAATTTGATTCTGCAATGAACTACAATAGGAGGGCAGCTCTGCTAAGCAAATAATGAAAATAAGACGTTAAAGGACTGTTGACCACATCTAAGATAATGAGTTCTTGAGTAAATAAAAATTTTGTATTACTTATTTAAAAATAATTTCAAGTGACAGAAAAGGTGCAAGAATAGTACACTCTTTACCTAGATTCTCTAATTGTTACATACTACCTTATTTGCCTTATTATCTCTCTCTAAATACAAACTTTTCTTTCCCTGAACTATTAAAGAGTAAGTTACATACATCATGCTCCTTTACCCCTAACTACTTGTATTCCTAAGCCCATGAACATCCTTTTATGAAATCAGTAGAGTTATCAACTACAGGAAATTTAACATGGATATACTTTTATCTAATCTATGGTCCACATATCAGTTTTGTCAATTGACCTAGTACTATCCTTTACAGCATTTTCCTCACTATTAAATCTACACCAGAATCACCTATTGCATTTAGTTGTCATGTCTCAGTAAATAATACCTGATAGCCATTGTTTTTTACAAAATGAGTTGCTCAAAATAGACTAGAAAATTAAACTTGTAACCACAAAAAACGCAGCTGATTTAATTTCTGTTCCAGCATTTCACACAAAAATAGTTATGTTAGAAATGCTATTTCTACAGTTCCGAAGAATTTACCGAAACAACCATGTCTCAAAAGGAGGTATCCAAGAACAAAAAACACTGAACTAATCTCATTAATCTTATTAAATATAAAGGCAATGAAAACCATTAAATATAAAGGCAATGAAACCCAGTTCCAACCAAACTGTTGGGCCATATTTTACACATCTTACGACACTACCTCAGAAATTAGGACAGGTCAAGAAGGACACAATGGAAAGTGATCACTGTAATTACTTACCTCTTGGGGGTTCGTGGGAACATTGCGGGGAGGGGGGTAATGGGGACTGTTTCCTTTTTATTCTACGAATTTCTGTACTGTTTGAATTTTTTGACCATGAGCACACATGTCTTACTTAATAATAAAACAAAAGAAGCGAAGAAAGGAAAAGAAAAACTAGATGGCGGGGTGGATTCTTGTTTTGCGAGGTTAACCTGAACATCAAAGTTCATCTGTTTGTACTTTTGGTTTCTTCGCCTGAAGAGATGATGGTGACCCTTCCTTTAACTTACACAGGCAGACATCAGAAAGGTTAAGTATCACCAAACTACTATTTCAGGGAGAAAGAGCTAACAGACATGCTTCTCATAGGTCAGAAAAACCTCTCACTTGAACTGGCTGGCAGTTCTAAGGTTAACGGTCTGCCCTGAAAACCAGAAACTCAAGCAGAACCTTCCCGGATCTTAGAGCATTCATTCTGCAGCGGGGAATGGCGGAGCCAATGAAAGCTGTCGCGGGAGGGAGTACGGAACCGAGGAGGGCGTTCCGGGCTGTCAGCCGGACTGGAGGGACGCCGGGCCCCGCGCGCACCCGGGAGGGTCCGGGCAACGTGTGTCCGGAGCTGTCGGGCAGGCGTGGGGAGAGAGCGGCTCCGGAGGCGGGAGCCCGATTGGTCCCTTACCGAGCGCTGGGCACGTCCACCGGCCCGAGGCCGCCGCTGCCGCCGCCGGGGCCGGCTAGCACGTCCCCGCCGTATTTCTCCTCCATCCTGGGGATCAGGAGCCGCCGCCGCTGCCCCCGCTGCGGGGTCTCCTCATGTCTCGCCGCTGCCGCGGAACACCGGGCGCAGGCGCGTCACTCCCCCATGCCAGCGGCCCCGTCGGGTCCCCGTAGGCCGGGCTGCTGCCGCTGTCCCCGGCTCCGACTCACAAGCACACGCGCGTCGGGACTAGGCCGCGGACAGTTCCGGCGCCGCCGGGTTTCCCGGAGGCTCACCGCATCGGACGGGGCCAGGCCACGTCATCGGGCCCAGCAGCCCTCACTCTCGGGGGAGTGCCCGGCCCTGCGCCTGCGCACAGTACAACACTCGCCGTCCCCTCCCCTTCCTAAGGCTCTTCCTACCGCTGGGCTACGGACGGAATCCTCGCCCCGAATCAGCTCCCCCCACTGACGAGGCCTGAGCACATACCTGTCCCTGCAGCGCCACCTATGGGCTGTCATGAATACAGCGGGTTCTTCTGGAGCGCAGGTAGGGGACATAGAAAATGCACAACTTGCGATTAAATAGAATAGAATTTCTTTTAAATTCTGGCTCCTAAACTGTGTTACTTAATCCTTGCACATCAGTAAACCTAGGCAGGTAGGACCAGGCTTTATTAGAGTTAGTTTTCTGTTGCTAAAAAGTTAAGAAGGTGGGTTCCTGTATCTGTGTTGGTTTGAATCCCAAATCTGCCACTTACTAATTGTGTCACTTGGCCTTTCTGTACCTCAGTTTCCTTATCTGCAAAGTAAGAATAGTAATATCTATATCATAGGGTTGTTGGGAGGATTGTATGTGTTAATATGTGAAAAGTGTCTATAACAGTGAATGATACATAGTAATAAATGTTAGCTATTATTATTTATAGATAAATTTGAGGACTGGGATATGGAGATGAAAATGGAGCTTTGGACAGTGTAAATTATGATTAGTTTACAATACTCCACTTAATTCGAATGTACATAAAGACTCTTGGTAACATATAAGAGAATGAGGAGTCATAGTCTCTGCCTGCTGGGACTTCATAATCTATTGTGGAAAATATTTAGCAATTTGAGAGCAAGACCTAGTTGGCAAAGGCACAAATGCTAAGGTTTCCCAAATAAGGTGTGATATGGGTATAACCAGAAAAGACTCACTGATAGAAGCTGACCTGGAACTTGGATAAGGTTTTGGATATGGGAGAAAAGCATTGTGGGAAGATGTATCCTATGTGTAGAGCACAGAGGAAGGCATGAACTTTAAAAGCTAAAGATATGTATTATCCTGTTCGAGGCAAAGAAGAGAGCAAAGATACAATACGCCATCAGTATGTTGGGGTTTTAAATTCAGGATGTTTGCTTATTGAATTTGTACAGAAATGTCCATATCTTTTGCCTGCATTAGGTGATAATCATTGACTTAGAGTGGAGTAGATCAGGTAAAGCCTAACAAAGAGTGACATTCTTGCATCACTTTCTTGAAGTGACTTTTTTGTAGCATTTTTTTTTTGGTAGCAATTTCTTTGCAGAATTGCTATTTTCTAACCCAAATGGCATTGGTAACAACTAACTATTGTGTTTTTCTAGAGCTAATTCCATTCCTTTGGAGTTCAGAGAGCTAGGTAAAATGACACGTATACATTGAGATTAATTTTTATCCCCAGTGGAGCTTGAATTCAGTTGATATTTGATTTGGTTAGAATTAGGACATTTTTCTTTTAGGCTAATATGTTTCCTGATTTTTTGCAGTGGAAGGAAAAGTGTCTCTGTTTCTTTCTTCCTACTCACTTCTCAACCCAGTCCAACCTGGCTTCTACTTTCATCATTCTCCTGAAGCAGCTCTCTCGTGGATATTTTTGAGCTACATATTACCTTATCTCTCTATGGCTTTCAACATAGTTGATCTCTCCCTCCTTCTTGAAACATTCTCTTTCCTTGGTTTCCAGAACCGCACATTTGGTTGTCAGAGGAAGCTCAAGTTCTTTATGTCCAAAACTCATGATCTTTCCGCTAAACCTGATCCTCTTTTAATGTTTCTTACTTCATTGGATGACACCATTTATTCAGTTTAGCAAACCAAAACGCAGGTGTCATCCTTAACACCCCCCCTTCCTTATGGTCTATATCCAGTCCATCACCAAGTTGTGTCATTTTTTACCTTCTCAATATTTCTTGAATCAATCCAAAATTTTCCATCCTCATCTCCACCATCTAGTTTAGATGACCATCATGTTTTGTTTAGACAACTACAGTAACCTCCTTACTAGTCTTTCCAAGTTCACTCTTTCCCTTTTCTAAAATCTGTTTTCCACATTCTGCCACAGTAACAGTAATCTATTCCAGTTGCCCATCTTATCATGCACTGCCTGCCCCACCCCCACTCTACTCTCCAGCCTTCCAGCAGCTTTCCATTACTCTTACAACAAACTCAAATCATTAACATGGCCAACAGCATCCTGTATGGGCTTGCCCTAACCTATCTTTTCAGCTTCATCTCATACCAAGCTGCCTTCTGCTCTCTGGATTCCAGTCATCCTTTCCCCCCTTCAATTACGCTGTTTCTCTTCCAATACAAGACTTTTCTCAGGCTAGTTTTCATGTGTAGAATGCATACCGCCTCAACCTCTGCTTGTTAAGATCCTACTCACTCTTTTTGTTTCAGGTTGAGTTCTCTAGGAAGCAGACTCTGAGATGGAGTTTAATGTGCAAGATATTTATCAAGGAGTGCTTTTGGGACTAACAACTGTAAAAGGGAGGGAAAGGAAACATAATTGGGCAGAAGGAGAAGTTGAGAAATGGTGCAGTCCAACAAAAGACGCAGTAAACCTCATGGAGACTTTGGGAGCTAAAATGGTCCTTGAGAAATATCTTACATTTTTTCCCCCTAATACAGTCTTTTATAGGTCCAGGATTCATCCAAGATCATGTGTTGCATTTAATTGTCATGTCTCATTAGTTTTCTTTTATCTGGAACAGTTCCTGGTCTCTCCTTTTTTCATGACCTTGACATTTTTGAAGTGAATGGGACAATTACTTTGCAGAATGTCTGTCAGTTTGTGTTTGTCTGATGTTTTCTCATGATTGGATTTTAGGTATGCATTTTTGGCAAGAATAACACAGAAGTGATTCTATATTCCTCTCAGTGCATCACATCAGAAGGCACATGATGCTGACTGGTCTCATTAACTGGTAAAGTGAACTTCTATCATTTGATAAGAAGACATCTGCCAGATTTTTCAATGTAATGTTAATGAATAAGTATTTTGTCTGGAGATACTTTGAGACCATGTCAAGATTCTGTTTCTGATCACACTTTCACTCACTTTTATTAGTATCCATTTTTGCTCCTTGACCAAAACAATTATTACTATAAAGTTTTCCAAATGCTAACCATCCCTTCCATCAGCTCTTCTACATTTATTAGTTGACCCTCTACTGTCAGGTAAAAGTTTCCTGTCCCCCCCGCTCTACCATTTATCTATCTATCTATCTATCTATCTATCTATCTTAGTATGAGCTCATGGGTTCCTATTTTATTAAACAGATTATAATCAACTGCTGTCACGCTTTTCATGCTAAAATTGTCCCAAATTTAGCCAGTGGGAACCATTTGGCTGGTTCCTGTGCCATTTTGACATATTCCTATCATTTCTTCAGAATTTCCATACTTTCTGGTATAAGATGTTCCAGGTTTATTATATACTTTCCCTGCCTTAGCTCTGGAATTAGCCATTTCTCCAAGGAGCTCTGGTTCCTTTTGAGGAGAATGGTATTTAGAAACCAAGGTCTATAGATGCAACTAGAGATTATCATACTAAGTGAAGTAAGTCAGAAAGAGAATGATAAATGTCATATGATATCACTTATATGTGGAATCTAAAATATGATACAAATGAACTCCTCTATGAAATAGAAACAGAATCACAGACATAGAGAATAGACTGGTAGTTGCCAGGGGGGAGGGGGGAGGGAGAGGGATGGTTTGGGAGTTTAGGATTAGCAGATGCAAACTGGTATATATAGAATGGATAAACAACAAGGTCCTACTGTACAGCACAGGAAACTGTTACGGTGATAAACCATAATGGAAAAGAATATGAAAAAGAATGCATATATATATACATGTATAACAAAGTGACTTTGCTGTACAGCAGTAATTAACACAACATTGTAAATCAACTATACCTCAATAAAACAAAAACAAAAACCAAGATCTAGGTGTTGGGCATCACATTGCTGCTGGTGTACTCATTGCTTCTTTGACTTCTCAGTGGGCAGAGTTAGGAATTATATATGCTCAGCTAGGTGTGTGTGTGTGTGTGTGTGTGTGTGTGTGTATAGGTATATCTTTCTATTTATCTTCTATCCGAAACCAAAAGTTCATACTTATACCTTCAAGTACAATCCAATCTTAGATGTTTTATCCTAGACTTTGCCCTTTCTATGTTTGTATCTCTCTTCCCTCGGGTGAAACATCTGGCTCCCAAAAATGGATAGGTAAATTGTCCAAAATTATATAATTTGTAAGGCAAGACTCCCCACTAACTGGGCAAAGTGCACTTCAGTGTCAGCTGTTCTGCTCCTCTCTTCCTGATTGCGTGGGTGATGCCTGTTCCAATGATGTAAGAGAACCCGATGGGGAGGGCCTGTTTTGTAAGCCACCTCCAGGAATCTGGATCAGAGAATATGGTGGAAATTGTCATGAGTAGCAACTTAGTGCCTTCTTCCTTCCTTCTAATGAATACTTGTTGAGTGCTTACCATGAGCTAGGTCCAATTCTAGGTAATTGCTGGGCTTCCCAGAATCAAACTCTGAGATGAGGATTTTTGTGAAAGTAAGTGTTCCCAGGACAAACTGGTAGGAGTGTGGGAAAGTGGGACAGGAAAGACAGGTGAGCAGGGATGTGATATCAGGTTCACTCCCACTGGGGAGCTTGGATTCTGTGAAAGTCCCACCTCAGAGGGTCCTGATCTGGGGTAAGGTGTCTTAGTTCATCTGGGCTGCTACAACAAAAATACTGTAAGCTCAGTGGCTTATAAACAACAGA